AAATCATGTATCGCCGACCCCAGCCGATAGTAGGGGAGCGTACAAAAAACGTTATGTGAGAGATAATTTTGGACGTTCTTGCGGCGCGCCACATACTACGTAAATGAAACAATGAAACATTAAAAAATCTAAAGTTGAATTAACATAAAACTAAATTAGAACCGACTTCGAGATAAATGTAAAAGCAAAGCACGTTGTGTTTTTTGCGGGCTAGCATGTATATATATATATATATATTGGTTGTACAAGCTGCAGGGGTATCCTCTCTACCAATCAACCAATAGTAAAAGGCCCTGGTTCGATTCGAAACCGGATGTGTTCGTCTCCACTGATGGTGATTTGACCACGTGATCAAAAGGGGCACTCGACTCGGTCTCGGGAGTGAAAGACCATGTCCACTGCATCGTTCGACCTGGAGCTTTTCGTTCGAGACAGCGTCTGGCGTCTGGCACTCGTGAAAGACCATGTCCAATTGGCTGAAAGGGCTGCGATGTGACAGAAGGTGTTAGTCCAACTTTGTCCTCGTGTCAAGCAGCACCCTGTTTCCATACACACATACCCTGCCACTCCGCTAGAACCCAGCCCGAGGAGAAAAAAAACGGCCTTGCAGCCCTTGTAAACATCCTTGGTTCGCCAAACTGCTGAGTTGCAGGTCGCGAGTCAGACGTTCAGAAGTACTTTACAAGTTTTATATTGTCTGGATGCATGATGATGCATGTGGTTCATCGCCGTCATGAGCCATATGTTCTTTCAAGCGCATGTCGCATGAGCATGATGAGATGTGTATAAGGAACATGAACATGAACATGAAGACAGACCTTTGTCTTCAGAATGGAGCTCACACACAAACAAAAAATAGCTTGATCGCAGAGTGTGTACTGTAGTATCCCCCAATAGATCTCTATGCCAAAACACGAGTGACGAGGTGAAAACTGGCGTCTTCCTAAATCCGCCGACCCGCACGTTTGCGCGGAAGAAACCCGCACGCACCCAACTCATCCGATCCGTTCTCCTGGGCCACGGGGCCCACCGTCACCTGCGTCCTCCGGTCCCGTCCCCAGGTCCCCAGTCGTCGCACAGCGCGAGGACGAACGACTCGATGATCTCGAGACCAGGCCGCTGGGGAGTCGTTGCCAGGCTTGTTGTAGAGCTGCCCTTTGAAGGGGTTCTCCGAGGCGTTGGCCACGTCATCCTACGGCGGTGACCGTGTCGGACACGAAGACACACCGCACACCGCTGCCTTTTTGGAGCACACGAAGGTTGAATTTCAAAAACTCAGTGGGTACTCAGACCTTACTCAAAGATTGATATTCCAGAACTGTTTTTGAAGATGTAGGCTGAGAATGGCTGAGACCTGTAAAGGCCAAACACTGCGTGTCTCCCGTGGTCCTGAGCCTCCATCCTTGACCTACTGCCTCCGCCTGTCGCGCCTGCCTCCGCATGCATCGCGTCCGCCCCGTCCGAAGACATCGGAGCTTTGAGCTCGAGTAACAAAGTCCTCAAAAAGACCCAGCTAGTGGGGAATCGATGACGGGTGCCCAGTCGCCGCACTTTCCTGTGCCCCTCCTGCATCATGAGGATGATGTTGTCTGCAGGCACACCACTCTTCAGCATCAACTGATACGAATGGCAGCTGTCAGCCTCGCCCATGTCAGCTCGCGACGCTCCGGGGAAGTCGGTGTGGTCCTACTCTGCTCCGGTCCAACTTGCAGGAATTCTGGTAAAACGTGATGTTGTCTGGTCATAGTAACTTGGAGTCTCCCCCAAGTCCAGAAAAACGCTCCTACAAAAAAAGAAGCATCTCAGGTCCCAAGTCCCCCTTTGCTCCTGGACACCATCCTGAACACCTTGGTGACCTTCCATACCCATACGGCCTGGATGAAGGTGGTTCTTTAGCGTCCAACACAGCTGCAGTGCCTTGATCGACGTGCCTTTTGAAGTGCCTTGGATTTAAAACAACAAGGAGTGTCAATGGCTTTAGATGGCTTTAGTATGTAGTGATCCCTTGGTTTGGGTTGGGCAGAACCACAAATACCGCGCAAGTAAATGGTCCATAGGTGCACTAGCTAGGTGAAATCCTTTTGGGAAGGGTCATGTCCGTGGTCATATTAGTTCGTCCCAGAATAGTTGAATAGGAGAGCACTGCACAAACAATGAATTAATTATATAATCAATACATATCAATACCATCTGTATTTTCCTAGCATTCGCCGGACAAAAAAAATACGTATATAATCCCAACCCACTGCCTGGCTCACCCACACTGCCTGGTGCCTGTAGTTCCAGAAGCCACTGCTTCCAGCCGCGATGACCGCCTTGGATCCGCCCCGTCACGGTGGTGTCCACACGACGCATCCAAGAGCGACACCCCCGAGGTTGAGAGACCTGAACTAGGATCCTGTAGTGGTACATATGGGATGAGCGAAAAGGGGCTGTTCAACCTCTCTAGGCCCGGATGCCTTGGTTGGGGCATCCGCGGCTAGCAATCGAGACAACCCTCTTTTTGCGGGGGATCCTGGTATGAGTGTGTCAATCTCAGCTCTGGTTGTGTTCTCGCTGATCCTGCCATCCCAAAGAGCACAGCTCTGGTGATGTCCTGCTGCTTTGTAAGACATGTCGAAACATGTTTCGACATGCCAAGGCTCCCGCAGAGCTCCGACTTTCGCGGGCTCCACGACCTCTTTCACCCCTCCACGGCCCACGGACTCTCCACTTCTACGAAGCGCCAGGCCACCCACTTCTCCGCCGTGACGGCGACTGGGAAGAACCTCACCGGACATCCACCAGTGTCCGGGACCTGTACCAGGACCCCCCCCAGGAGTTGGGTGGTTCATGGGCATCCCGAATCACAGCTTTTTGGGGGAGTATAAATAGACACCTCTACAGGAGGGTCCTGGTACAGCGAAAATTACAGCGAAATCACCGTCTTGCACTGCATGATTGTACTTTGCACTTCCTTGTCAATGTGTCAATATGTGTCAATCTTGCAACTGTGTTTGCAGCTGGTGCAGGTCATTCTAGGACTACAAAACACCGCCCGTGTCCGCAAATTTACTAGCTCTACAGTTCACTGTGTTTAAAACGTTGTTTTTGTTAACTTTCGGTTTGATGGGTGTCGGGGGTGCACTTTGTAATCATTGCAAAATTCCAGGCTGGGTTCACTCTAACCTTCATTCTGGGAGCAATGCAAAGCTAGGATTCATAAACCAATCCGAGCCCACACAGCACCCAAAATTCCCCACATTTACCCAGACGCGACCCTGGGCCCGAATCCTCTGGAGGGGTCGGACCCGAATCCTCTGGAGGGGTCTGGGATCTCTCAATTAATTCCCTAGGTTTTGAGGGACCAAGGGCTGTTTGGAGCATCTGGGTACAAGTATTATTGGTGGTTAATTTCCCCCTGAATAAGGTTGCTGGGTGCTAGAAACCCTTCACCCAACTAATCCGAGCCCCAGAGCCAGGTCAATTTTGTGAATTTTGTGTCAGCTTTACTATACTACAGTACTACTATCTACTACTATCTACTATCTACTACCTACTATCTATTACCTACTACCCACTACCCACTACCCACTAC